GGACTGGTTTGATTATGTTTTGGTATGCAATTCTTAGATTTAGAGTTTAATTTTCATGAGGTAAGACTCATGAATTGCACACAGGACACAACGGATGTCTCCATTTGGAGCAGACAGCTGGCTGAAGGCAGGGCCAGGTTCGGCAGGCTTTGGAATACATTGTGCTGCAAATGTATCAGCCCTCAGCAGCCACAGAACACAAAGGGAAAATAAGGTTAAAAGACCCTAACACACGGGAGCACTGGTCCAGAGATCAAAGAATAGCTCTAGCAAAAAAAAGAGGGCCACATTTGCTCCTCTGCTAAGTTACAGGAGGGGAGTCCTTGACCTCCAGCTCTCAAACTACTCCAGCAAAGCAATGCAACCTTTGGGCTGTTCCAACCCACACCTCGCTGATCCCTCAGTGATTATTCAGAAGGCATTAACTGCGCAGTCTGAACCCCAGGAACTCTTCTGAAAAAATATGTATTTATTTTTCTAGCATAAAATAACAAGTAGTTAGTTAGTTTTAGCCAGAAAGGGGAAGAGGCTTCATTGACAAATAAGAGGAGGGAATGTAGTATTCCAGAATAGCAAGGTGATTTCAGAAGCTAGATTCTCAATCATTGGATTAGTTTAAAGTACTTCTGGCATTCAGAAAACAGAAGGATTTTTTTTTGGGGGGGGGGGGGGGGGGGGGAGGGAAGTAACTGTATTCAGTAAAATGATTAAGAGAAAATAAAACACACTTGTCAGGGCAAACAATGAAATAAATGCTGTCCACCTTGTTCAGAATGGCAGTAACTGCAAGGTATTACAAAATACCATCTGTCCTCTCAGAACATCTTAACAGTAACCAGCATCTGAAAGGAAAAATAAAACTCCGTTCCAGACATCCAATCCTCCAGTGCTAATCTATTTGAGGACATTCCCTTATTAGTAAAAAATTTTCATTAGAACACATGTAGAAGATGAACACTCCTACAGATACTGTGCTGGCTGTGGAGGGTGTGAGGTGTGACAGGCACTACCTACACAGAACTGTCAAAAACATTCCCTGTGATCACCCCTCAATGCAGCCTATGGAGAACTTCTGGACTTGATGAACTCCCAACATACCTCCCAGTCAGAACCTTCTTATAACCAGGAAATAAATAAAATAGCCCGGTAACTAGGTTTTACAGTTAATCTATAGATTTAATCTTTGATTTACAGTAAAATAAGAAAACTGCATTTGCCCAAACCCAGCCCTCCACAGCATTAAAGCTGTTGTGCACTACACAAAGATATTTGGCCAAATCCAGCACACTTGCCTTGAGTTGTCATTAATATAAGAGGGGCCAGGCAGGCAACTCCTAGGTTTTGTCCATGTAGAATCCTTTGTACTTTACTGAGCTGTTAGACAACAGCTCAAAAGGCTCAAACTCCTCATAACAGCAATAGAAGAGAAATCCTGAGTCCCTTCTCCAGCTGACAGGACTAATAATTTAAAATTATGCAGCTAAAATCATACATACAAGGGTATTCTACCACAATTTTCAGAGACCTCCTTGCCAGAGAACTGAAGGTGTCAGTACGTTCTGTTAATAGCACTGCAACAGCTCCTGCACTGCATGTGCACCATCAGAGAGCAGCACAGCCCAAATGCTGCCATAAACCCACCAAAGGAGAAGTGGAACAGAAAGTCCCTGGCTGTTACAAATGTCACTGTATTCTCCTTTTGTGTTGGTACTGCACAAACTCGACCGTGGGAGCCACAACAGCGCTTGGTACACAGATTTGCCATGGGGTCTAACCCATCATATCTGGAAATGCAAATAAAACACGCTACGCTATTCCTGAATATTAACGACGCTTCCTATCAACTGTTGTTTATCCGGCTGCTTTTTTCAAGCGGAGCTGGCTGTGCCTGTGGTGTTATGCAACCCTCCAAATCCACATGCCTACTGCTCTCTGAGATCTCAAGGTAACAGAGCTGGAACCCAGACATCTCTCCTGCCCAAAGCCTGTCTTTATCGTGGCATTTTACTCAAAGCCATGAACTGTAACTCCATTTGGCTCTATATTTTTTCATTACTAAAACCTAAGTACTTCCAACTATTAACTACATTCTATAACATCACATTAACTAGGAAGTTAATGACTTACTATGCAGCTTATTTAGCATGAGGCAGCATTAGATGGAGAAAAACTGATGAACTGCTCTGCTAGGGTGGTATGAATTGTATCAGAGCAAGAAAACCAGACTTAATGCCAAGATATCAAACAACCTGATGATTTGTGCCACATAGGCACTGAAGGCTGTACTACTGTCACCCACTTCTTAGATACAACAAATCACTAAAAACCATCTAACACCTCAGTTAAAAAACTCATACAGACTTGTAACACGATAATAAGGATGAATGAAGCCTTACATTCTCAGCATGTCTCTTCAGCTGACTGTTCATGCCTTTCTATCCCTTTCTGTAGCTCTACAGGCATGCACTGGACTTCACAGAGAAAGCACAGCAAAGTCACTACTTCCAAAACATAGCTAAAATAATCTGAATTCCATACCAGGTCTTGTCATTACTTTAAGTTCACCTTCTTCATTCTCCCCCCATCTTAACAATGCAAGTTCTCAAAACCATACCCACTCCTGAGCCCTCAGTATATGAAATACTGTTCTCTTAAGCAAACAAGAAATTGCAAAAATTCATTGGTTTCATACAGAGAGTACTTAAAAACTACCTCAAAGCACCTTCAGCTAAGTACCAGTCCCTCCCCCTTTCCCCAGTCCCTTACTACTTTTCCAGCATTTCTGCACACCAACGTTTTTCTATTGTATTACTACAACATCCCACTTCCATCACTCCCACACATTTGCCTGACTCCAACCCTCCTGTAAGGATGAGGACCCTTTTATAAAACCCATTGCCACATCAAGCACAGGTACAAACGCACGCTCCGAAGGCATCCAAACCCACACATTCCTCTGCTCTCAGACAGATTTTGGCACCTTTTAATTCGATTATTTCTGTCACCCCACTCTTCCCACTCATTCTGGTTATTTTGTCAGCATCCTTCCCCATGTTTTTAGCCCTCTGACATTCTTTCAGAACCTAAACATCACAGCCATGTGGAGAAGCAAACATATGGTGGGATCTATGTTAAACCAGCAATTACACACAGGGATGAGTTGTCTGAGTGTCTTTAGGAAGAAACATGCAGTGTGATACCTATCTTAGGCCATTTTGCATCTTTATGAGCAGTGAAACAACCAAGCCATTAACATCTGTGATGTCTATAGGAAAAAACCCACAAAACACGTATCATTGCAATAATTTTTTCTCATCAGTACTGTAATTAGATGTCTGCCAAGAATCTTGAATTTTTATTGTCCTGCTTTTCTACTACACTGATTCGTTTCTTCCCTGTCAAAACTAGTGCAAGTTTTAAACTGTTATTTTCCACCATTTTCCTTTAAGAAGCACTAAAACCTCCTAGTGCCAAGTTTATTGCTCATCCTGTTACACTAAAGTTTTACTTTCTATTAAGGGCAAACAGATTTCTGGAAAACTGGTCAGTATACTACTTGCAGTGAAAAAAACAACCATGTTTGATACATAAATTGCTAGCACTGATACAGTCCTAATCTAAACTCTATGGAAGACAGCATAATGCTGCTTTTAAAACCACACACGCAAACCTCAAGCCACCTTCAAGTGGAAAAATTGACAGCTATGTTATACTAGGTTTTTTTTGGGTTTTTTTTTTTGTTGTTTTTTTCATTAAAAAGGTGTGTAGGACTGTAACAGAACAGAAGAGTGCGGTCAGAGCTCAAACAGAGCAATTCATTTCCAGGTCAGTAACTCTTGGTGTCAGACCAAACTACTGAGCACTGTCAAGCTGGCAATGAGAACCATGACCACAAGCTCTCTGCCTCAGACACAGAACTGGGAAAATCTATAGGCCATGGGAAACCAGGTCAGGGAAGAACAGGAGGAAAAAAGAAAACACAAATTTTTTTATCTTTTTTTTTGGTAAAAAGCGATGCAACAAATTGAGAAAATCATTAGCGACACAGAAGATTTAACAAATCAAAATCTGAAAACCTAACTAATGTAAGCTCTTGCACTAACCTGGACAACATCCGTGATGCAAAGTAACTCCAAAGAATGGAAAAAATTATTTTACAAATACATCATTTAGAGAGAATTTCTCCCTTAGAGAAAACGCAAGCAGGATAATGCTGGTCGGGGCAGGAAGCCGGCCAATCCTTCAAATCAAAAGAGTAAATCTCGATGTACTTCCCTGCTACAGTATCACAGACGTGACAGCCACGGCCGCCTGGATTCCCCTGCTCGTTCTAACCCAGCACAGCAAGCAGCGCGCGGGCGGGGGCACAGGCACCCTCACTGCTGCCTTTTCCAAGGGGCTTCCCCCGCCAAAAGCATTTCACGGATGTTTTCCTTCAATTTCATTCACTTTCAAATCCTCAGCACGCAGCGGCTGCAAAGCGCTCAGGTACGGGGAAAGATTTGAGAGAGGCACGTAGGGTGAAAAAGCCTTAAAACATTTCGCAACGGGGAGGAAGGAGGAAGAAGCTGCGAATCTCTGAAGTGTGGGTCCAGGGAAAAAGGCACCGTCATTTCTCCGGGAAGTCTGGGGAGCCCTTCCCAATGGGGGCCACACGAAAGGGAACGCGCTGTCCTCTGTGCCAAGGGGGTTTCGAGGAAAAAAAAAAAAAAAAAAAAAGCACCACAAACACCACAAAACCAACCAAAGGCCAAAAGACCAGAACACCCCAAACCCTCACATACGAGTTAAAAATAAAATTTAAAAACCCTTCAATAACGATCCAAGTGCAGCCCGCGGGTCTCCCCAGACCCTGCGGGGAGCAGGACTCTCCTCTCTCCCGCACCCCGGCCCTGTCCCCCGCTCCCTCCGCGGACCCGCGGCCCGGGCGGCGCCGTCGGGACGGGGCCGAGCCGAGAGCTCGGCGGCCCGCGGCGCGGAGGGTGCAGGGAGGCACCTACCAGCTGCTGCCGGACCCAGCGCAGCATCCCCGGCGGCACGGGTCGCGGCCCCCGCGGCGGGGCTCCCTCGGCAGTGCCGCGCCCTCCCTCCGCTGTCGCCGCCGCCGCCTCAGGCGAGCCGCCCGCCGCGGCTGCTCCCCATGGCGCGGGGCCCACGCCGAGTCAGGAGCGGCACAGCCCCGCCGGCGCCCCGAGCCAGGGCTGCCGCCGCCATCACAGCACGGCCGCTGACACTCGGCGGCTGCGGCCGCCCCGGGAAGTGACGTGGCGGGGCGGGGAGAGGGGCCGGTGTGAGCGATGGAGCCGTGAGGGGGGAGCCGTCGTGACCTGCCCCAGGCTGGGCTGCCATGGTCCGGCCGCTGCGCCGGCCTGAGGCGCGGCTTCTCCGGCACAAGAGCCGTGCGTGCGCTCGGGTCATCCTCGGGCAAAATTCCAGCTCCCCGCACGGGCTCCGGCCGCAGCCCGTCAGGGCTCAGCGCCCTCAGCCCTATGAGGGCCCCCTGTTCTACCCAAGGGAAGCTACTTCGCAACTTGACTGTTTTATCTTTCTTTTCTTTGCAAAAAGCGCAAAGCGTACACATGTTGGAATAAAGACTTTGAAAAGAGAGCAGATAATCACTGATTTAAAGTTAAAGCCCAAGTGCACGGTGTGTGGGTCTCCCAAAGCACGGAACAGGTGCTGGAGGATCTGGCGCCCTGCTGCCGGCAGCATTGTCTGGAACCGCTGTTCGTTAAAATCGGGAGTAGAGACGTGCTGCTGTCAGGCAGTGATCTCTCTGAAATCTTCCCACCTGCACGCGTTCCTGTGTCACCTGCTCTGGGTGACCGTGCCTTGGCAGGGGAGTTGGCCTGGCTGATCTCCGGAGGTCCCTCCCAACCTCAGCAAATCTGTGATTTTGCTCTGAAAACAGCTGTTGCTTATCAAAACAAAACAGCGTTCAGCGCCAAACATTGGACACACCTATACCAGTCTGCAGCTTCTGCGCCTCTGTGACTAAGAACTAAAGGAGATTATTTTAAGCAGTAAAGACCTGGGCGTTTGTGACCAAATACAGTTGTCCCTGAAGTCAGTGACAATTTTGACACTGAATTAAAGAGAAGTGCTTCTGTGAGTGAACACTGTTCCCGCTGCTCCTATTTGTTCCCAGGGAATGAGAACTTTTAGCAACAAATTATAATCGTATCTGCTGTAGTATTTAGTGTCCATATAGAAATTTAGAATGTAATTCAGGATTTAAGATGGATGATCTAATGTCTGAGAAATGGAATCTTGTGGTGGTTTAAGCATCTGCATTTAATTAGAAAAATAACGTTTAAACAGTGGGGAATAAAACTATTTTTATCAGGCACTTAGGAAAGCTCATGTTAGCAAAACTTGATATTAAATGCTAGGCATTATTTCAAAACAAATACATCAAAGCAGAGTTTCAAACAGCTTGCACTACCCTATTCATCTAATGAGAAGTCGAAAATAACAGAGTGATTTCATAGCTGTGGCACGTTGCCTGGAGAGTGGCCTTAAGCCAGAAGCTGAACTGATACGCTCAATATTCATGCTCCTCTTTTATCATCAGATGTAGAACAGGGTCCTGACCACTACACACTAAAATTCATATGCCATTACTCTGAAGTGCAAGAATATTTGGCAGGCACTCTCTCCCTGCCAAATTCCAGTATGAGTTGCACTTTCTGCAAGCCTCTGTTTCCATGGCTTGCAGTTGTGTTACATAAAGCTGCTTGGCACTGTCTGTTCCACATTTGCTGTAATGATACTGTTTCACCAGACAAAACTTGGAAGCAATTTGCAAGTGATTTGAGCCCTGCAGTTTGTATTTTTCACTCTAAGATGTTTGTATTTTAGTGGATGAAAGTATATTGATAGGATGGAATTTGCTCTGTGCAGCAAAGGTACCTCTTCAAATATACAGAAAAATTCACTAAGAAAACATCCTTTCCAACCATCCTGCCTAGTAAAACTTTGCACCTTTTAAATTGCTCAAAAGCCCACACTAGACACTTAGGAAGTTTCATCTCACCCTTGAGAGATAAATAGTTTTCAGAAGAGAAAATTGAAGCAGAGCAGCCAAGCCAGATATTGATTAGCCAGTAACACTCCAGCACTTCTCAAATCAGAGGTCAACTGTGTTAAGATTCCCACATCAGAGACCCCACTTTAAAATAGTGCCATGGAGTCACCTGAATTCACACAGCAGGCTTATACAGAAAAAAAAAAAGCAGCTGCTGAAGAAAAAAGTCACCTTCTAAAGATTAGGTTTAACTCATTGCCCAGGCTCTCTTGATTAGACTCCAAGCTTTCTACTTAGAGTTCTATGGGACTAATGATTTCAAATGTTTGTTTAGCAAGATCAGGATACAAATGCTGTCTGATAAAGAAATATTTACATAAATATAAAAACACACACTTGAATGTTAGGTCCAGCAAGCTTTTATTTATGCATGCATGAGTAATTCTTATATAATTAATGGTGCTACTTTTAGGTTTATAACATTAAACATTGGTAACCACAGAATCATTGCCTGAACATGCAACCATCAAATTGTCACTGGGGCTGCTGATGCTTCTCCCTGAGCTTGTTCCTTTGGGAGACACTCACACATTTCCATTAGTTTTGAATGGTGTTTTGGGGCCAGCAAATGGTGTTTTTTCCAGCAGGAACTGGTGAGATGCTGTCAGGCTGTATGGCCACATCCAGTGCATGATGAGAGGAGATGGAAGTGCAGCACTGATGCCAGAGGGTGAGCTGCCTGCAGCATTCCTGCCTTGGAAAACTCTGAAGTGCCTGGCAGCCGAGCCCTGTCACCTACCCTATCCCTGGATGTACCAGCCCCATCTCAGGCTCCCAGGGTGCTGCAAAGAGGGAGGTCTCATCTGGTGCACTGACTTTGGGGCAGCCCAGCTCTTGTGTTGCATCTAGAAAACACCTCTGTCCTTTGGGACAGAAAAACAGAAAAGTCAAAGAGGTGCAGAGTAGAGATGTAGGTTTCTGTAGCAAAAACCAGTAATACTCCTTACAGTATCCCTTTCCTGGTGGAAAAATCCTTTGGTTTTATTGAAATATTTTGTAATTTCTCTAAATTAGTATTTTAATCTATTCATTATTTACTTGCTAATTAAAAATGCACACTATAAAAATATCTGTTTTGTTTCTAATCCATTGAGGTTAAGGGCTGCCTGAGAGACACAGGGCTTCTTCAAGGCATCTTTATTCCTCAAGCATTCACTTACTGGCTGAAGCATCAATTATATAGAGATAATCAGTGGCTGATTTTCAGTCACAAGGCTTTTCATCTAAAGACACATGTGTATTCTTACCTAGAGCCACCAGTCTTCAGGGAAAAAGTAAAAGAGTTAAAAAACGAACTGAACTTTTTAAAGGGAAACCTTTTTGTGCCCTGAAAGAAATAAAATCAGATTAAATGACAGGATGCACAAGGTGACATTTCCAAGACACTTATTGGATCTCCACAATAATGCAGTTTTTTTTTATTTCTTCTTACCCTTTCTCTCATTTGTTAAAACCTGGATCTTGACGTCACACCTCACCTTTCCATTGCTGTTTTTTCATTTTCACTTGAGAGCTTTGTTGAGAGTGTAGAACTTCAACTTCTATCCAGCACATGAAGCTCAAGAGATCTGGATCCCAAATGCCAGGTGAGGGGCTCCATGTGACACACAGAAGGTCAAACCTGTCAGTGCCCTGCAGGCACAGAGATCTTTGCACTGCACCACACTTCACCGAAAGATGCTCTGCACTTACCTCATCCCTGGCTCTGTGGAATGGCCTGGCCTGCTAAATGCAAGTCAAGAGAGTTTACAATCAGTGCTTCTCAGTTTGCAAGGCCCCAGGATAACAGGAAGCTGTGGAAAGCATTAAAATTTATCTTCCCTTTCAGCCTCACTGTTAACTTTTTAATTATGTGTTGCCCGTAGGCCGCAATGTTCATCTTGTGGCTTTCTCTAAAGCTCTTTTATTTTCTTTTTCCCCAGGGAAGCAGTCCAAGATTAGAAGAAACAGGAAATCCTGGAAAGCCATCCGTTTTCTTCATGAAGCTGAGTATGACCAGGATGAAGTATAAAATGCTAATTGTTCATGCTTTTTTTTTTTTTTAGGGAAGAAATACAATTTTTCAACCCATGGCTCATAAGTTTGGAACATCTCCAATGGCCCTGTCTTGATGGAAAGTGGAGGACTCATAATCTTGCAAAACAATGGTTTTGTTAGAAAATGTGTTCAGGAAAGTTAGTTAATTTCTAATATATCCTTGGCAGTGACATAATTTTGCAATTCTGTAATATAAACAATGATAACCTTATAAAATGTGAATTTTTTTCCAGACTCTTTATTTAATGATTTATAAATATACACTTTTCCAACTAATTCATTCTTATCCTCATATTTTTATAAAAATTTCCTTTTCTAATTTATAAGCCCTAGTGATTATTGGCATTCATACATTACCTCATGGTTAACCTTTGTAAAAAATTGCCAGGCAGAAAATGATGCATCTCAATAAAAAACTCATGAGATTCTACAGGGAATTTTTTTTTTCTGCTTTGTAGTGCTTCAGTTGAGATCACTGAGTGGATAAAGAAAGATTGAACTCTGGAGAATAAACACAGGGCCTGGTTTCCAGGTCTCTTGACACCAGTCACTTGGGACATTACCGTGACAACTGCAATACAAACAGTTACACACCTAGGGATGTTACCTTAAAAAGGAGTTTGAGATCTTTGTGGGAAAGAAACAGGGGGATTCTGGTCATGGTTGTACTCTCTCTTGGTTTAATAGCTTGCTTCAAAATAGTGCAACATCCAATGTATGAAATGTTCTCCAGGTCATGGGAAGTAGGATTTCAAGCACCCTCTTGAAGAACTTCAGCTTCCCATGCCTTAGAGGGCAAACTGCTGAATTGGACAGAGGTTTTCTGAGAGCACCTTCTGGTTCAGACTTGACAAATTACATAAATCTCTGTGGGATTTAGGTATGCAGTAAATTTGTCATAACCAACATATTTTTTTTGTGTTCAGGATTCAGTTTTTTAGTATTTGAGTTAGCTCATATAATGCCAGCTAACATGTTCCTATACTGCACTCAAATGATGAATTAGATATTTCTGAAGGTGTTCCTTGCTGTGCTGTTGGC